GGTGGGGGAGGGGAGGGGCTTCCTGCTGAGGGGGCGCCCGTCTGAGCGGCCATCCACCCGTTCCCACGTGCACACACGCGTGTCCCGGCCCCTCCGCTGGGCTTTCCTCACCGAGGCCGCGGCGGCCGCCTCCTGCTCGTCCACCGCCAGCGCCCACGAGTCGGTCGCCATCCTCTCCCCGGAAACGGAGAGCCCGCTCGGCCTCACGCTGCAGCCCCCGGGAGGCCGACGGCTCTGCGCAGGCGCCGCGGGAAGGGGCGGGAGCTCCGCGTGCACCGCAGAAAGGGTTCCGGGCGGGACGCCGTGAAGGCGCGTCGGACGTTCCGGAAACCTTTAGATCCGCCCCGCCCCGCCTCCTTTTTCCCTCCCCCTCCCCTTTCGTTTCCAACGTTCCGCTGGCGGGGCGAGGGCGCATGCGCGGTCCCCGCAAATTCTAATGCTCTTCTCCGTGCGGCTCCTCCGATTTTTCCCCGGGCGGGGCTCCTCTGGCCGCCGTTGCAATGGCCAGTCGGGGGTCGGTGGGGGTCTTTTCCTCCGTCCGCCTGCAAGGCTCCTTTACGAGGAAGACCCAGAGCCCCTGCCGGCTGCAGCTGAATCTCTCCCCCCCCCCCGCCAATGTCGGCTCTGCAGTTATGGGGGCGCATAAAGAGCCCCCCCCTCCCACCCTTGACCAGGGCTGCCTCTTGCAAGCCACCCTCTGGGAAGACTTGAACTCCGAACATCTCAGGGGCGGCGGTGGGTGGGAAGGGCAGCAGGGCTGAAATCCAGCAGGTTCTGGAGAGCCCCTGGCCAACATTTTGAGTAGGTGGGAGAACCTGCAAATGCCGCCCCTGGCTGGACCCCCCCCCCCGAGTGGGGAGGGAATGGGGATTTGGCAGTATCAAGCCATGCCACGCCCACAGAATTTCCCCCCTGGTGGGCAGGCTGGAATTCCCCTCTGTGGCCAATTATTGGCCGTTTAGGTGGTCCTCGAGTTACAATCGCAATTGAGGCCAACATTTCTGTCACTAAGCGAGACATTTTGGTTTTGCCCCGTTCTACCACCTTGCTTGCTTGCTACGTTAAGTGAATCCCTGCAGCTGTCCGGTTAGCAACCTGGTTGCGGAGTGAATCCTGCTTCCCCCTTGACTTTGCCTGTCAGACGGTCACAGAAGGGGACTATGGCCGTCATAAATGTGAGTCGGTTGCCAAGTACCCAAATTTTGATTGTGTGGCCGCAGGGATGCTGAAATGGTCGTAAGTGTGAAAAACGCTCCTGTCACATTTTTCAGTGCTGTTGCAACTTCGAATGGTCACGAACTGAATGGTTGTAAGTCAAGGACTACCAGTCACTCAACAGGCAACAAGCTGGCCAGCATATCAATTTAATACGTAAATAAACCAACACATTTGCATCAGGACATATGAACCGCAAATCAGAAAACCCCTAAAGGTCTTTTCTTCAAAGAACTTTTTGCACGGATGAGGTGATGGGCTACTGGGTGACCCACGGCTGGGTGAGGGTACTCAGCCAATCCTCTGGGTTTCCCCCCTTCCGTGGCTGGGCGCAGGGGGCATCGTCATACAAAAGGCATTTTTCTCCTGGTCACAACCCCTCTGTCCCCCCCTTCCAGCCTGGATGACGCTGTTGGCAAGGGTGGCATGGCAGGGCTGCTGTGCGTCGCCTCCCTGCGCCTTCCGCCAGGGCTCAGCCACGTCCCCCCTTCCCTCTCATCTGCCCCCTCTTCTCCCATGCTGACCGCTTCGGGCTGGGGTCAGCTTCGGGGTCCTGCCGTCTCATCATCGTCTTGATTTCCCCGGGGTGACATCACGGCCTTTGCCATGGCAACGGGCAGCCGAGTCGGTGTGGGTGCTGAGCCAGTGCTGGGGAAGCAGCTGCAGCAAGCCGAATCCGAGCGGGCGAAGGGGAACTGGGGTGCCTGCTGAGATGCACCTTGAACGGGGTGCAATCCTGGCTCAATGGCCGGGAAACCTGCTTGCTTGTTTTCTAACCACCGTCTGGATCCGACGTCATTCACACCCTTCCCTGCGCTTGCTCAATTCCTCTGGCCGAACATTGAGACCCCTTGAATTTAGACATTTAGGCACACTGGGCCTCATGCGGATGGGATACCCTCGATCAGGATTTGGCCCTGGGAGTTGGCCAGCCCAGAAAAACTAACCCCGGGGGCTCCAACACTGAACCGACTAGGTTCCCATAAAGGAGAAGGGACATTTGCAGCTCAGGGCTGGCCTGAGGGGTCCCAGGTGCTCTCTGAGCTTGGCAGTTTCCCTGCAGGTCTTTCCTTACCCAAACCAGGTGACGTGATCGCTAGCACCGATGACGTTATCTAAGTTGGGCCATGAAAAGTCTTCAAGGAAACCGCCAAGCTCAGAGCGCACCCAAGGGGCCCCCAAGGGTCCTCAATCTGGGCAGGGCTCAGCACCCCAAGGGTTGGGAGCCCACCCACCCTTAAAGCTGCCAAGGCTGAAAAACACGGCTTGTTCTCCTCCTGGGGGTGTGTGATTATTCTTCAAATAACCTTCTTTCCTGGCATTTAAATCTCGGAGGTGTCTTCCTTCCCTGGCGTTCGCCCTGGAGGAGGACGGCCAGATGGCTGGAGAAATAGATCGGGGATAATAATGAGAACCTCATTATGTTTCCACTTAAGGAACGAAGAGGGTGACTGTCTCCCAAGCACCCTCCGCCTGATTTATGAGGTTGTTTATGCTTCGGTCAATGCAGAGGGCAGGCTCTCCCGTCAGAAGGAGAAAAAGCCACGGTTCTCTGGCAAACTGCAGTTAAGCCAACAATGCGGGGACCCTGCCGATGGTAGTTTAAGCAGCTTTTTTGCTAAGCTGGGCTATGTACCTACCTCCCACCACTCAAACTGCGAATGCTTCATTATGCCCGGTCATTGATGAGCTAAGCTTTGCCCTCCTCTATTATCAGAAGAAGGACTGAAGGTGGAGTTACCGTCAGGACCTCAGTTGAGCTGAGAAGCCAGGGAGGCCAACAGCTGGCTGGGGAATTCTGGGAATTGAAGTCCACCCATCGTGCTCAAGGTTGAGAAAAAGCCCCTTACAAAGAAAAAAAGAATCAGAAACTAAACTGTGATTTACAGAGTTGAAACTTTTGTCCTAAAACCCATCATTTCTAGACTGCCGGAAGAACTAAGGGAAAGTTTATACTCTGTTAAATGAATGTTCGTTCAAGGGTAGAATTCAACAGGGCCAACGCACAGTTCACCCACCCCGAGAGGAGACCCCAGGTTCCATCCTCTCCCACCACAGTGTAGTAATTGTAAGCAGGGTTGGGGATGATGGGAACAGGGATCCAGCCTTGAAGGTGATGGGAATGAGCCTGGCACCAAAGTTGGAGCTGGGTTCCCCCCCCCCCCAAATCCACTTTGCTGTCATGTCCAAGCGTGATTTCCCTGAATGAGCGCAGGAGCCGGGCTGAGCGCCAAGGACGCCCGTGTCCTGCCCAACGTCTCCGTCTTTCCTTTGTCGTCCTTCAGTCGCAAGGCTGACCCTTCCTGTCTCAGGAGGCCTCCCCGCCAGGCAGCCGCCCCAGGGAGGCAGGGAGGGACCCAAACTAGAGAGGACTTGGACGGGGGACTTGGCGCCCCTCAAATGCGGACGGGCAGGCAGGGGTCTGTTGGCCCCCAAACGGAGGAGAGCGGCGGGCAGGTGACGCTGGCCGAGCCAGGCGGAGGTGGGTGCGGGGGAGTCCTCCTCGCGCGGCTGCGACCCGCTTTGCGCCCGCCGCCTGTCCTGCCTGCCCGCCCGCCTGCGTGTGCGTGCGCGCCTGTCCTTTCCGACGGCCAGCCGAGCCCCCGCGCTCTCCCGCTCGCTCGAAAGGAAGAGGCGCTGCAGGCAAGCGGAGACGGAGCCCCCCCCCGGCCAGCCCCACGCCGGATCCCGCCGGCCCACCTGTTGCCTCCGCCCGCTGCCTTCGGGAGAACCGTCGGAGACGGCCGTGCTCCCCGCGGGCAGCCGTCCCGGGACCCCCGACCGCCCAGGTAGGAGCAGCCCCCCGCCCCAAAAGAAAAGCCGTCGCGACTTTCGCTCCCGGGTTGCTTTTTCCGTCCCGCCTCTGTGCGGGGACTTTCTCCTGGCCCCCAAAAGTCTCCGGTTTTTTTCTGACGCCCCGCGCTGAGTCTGGGACAATAGGGGGGGGGGCGAGGGGAAGGAAACGCCACCCTGCGTGGGACTCCCAGCCTTGATTTAAAAGGGAGAGAAAGAGAGAAAGGGAGAAAGAGAAAAAAGAGTGGGGAGAAAGAGGGAGGAAAGAGAGATAGATAGAAAGGGAAAGAGCCACCTCCGTCCCCCTCCCCAACCTGTTTAGCTCCAGGTCTCCTGCTGCTTTCAGACACAACATCCCCCCCCTTCCCCACAGCTGCAGCTGTGGCTCTGCGTGTGTAAAGGGTGTTTGCAAACAACAACCTGGGAGCGAAGAGACCGAATGCCTCGTCCTTTGGACGGCTGCTGTCCCGTGGGAAGGGCGGGGGTGGGGGACAAGGGCTGCACGGGGAGGGGGCTGGGAGGGACCTGAAGATCGCCCACCTCCTCATCTCCAGAGAGAAGAAGTGGGGGGGGGCTTCTGCTGAACCTAGGAGCAGCCGCCTCTTGTCCCGTGAACTCCTCTTTGAGTAGGGGGGAGAGGGGGGGTCTACGCTCCCCAAGAGAGCAGCTTCCTCCTTGTCTTTTGCACCCGAGTCCCGTTTTCACCCGAAGCCCCCCACAGTTGCGGGGAGTCCTACCTTCACAGGTTTTCACCGGCATCGTATAACCTGTTGCCTGCCCTGACTTGTTCAAGATCCCTTTTATCCCCCCCACCTGACCTCTTTGTGGAGGGGGGGGGCTTCTGCTGCCAGGTGGGGCACTGCAGGATGGTGGCCGGCCTGGATGTGCCAGGTGTCCCCCCCTCCCCCTTTCCTTCAGGAGCCTCTTTGGAAAGCAGCCCTCTTGCCTTCTCCTGCCGGAATTGGGTCCCTGCTAAGGCCCCCTCCTCTCCCCTGTGGGGGGCTCCTCTGTTCGGGGTGGGCTCTATGCAGCCCAGGAAAGCTTTGCAGAAGGGAGCCAATGCGTCTTTATCCCAGAGAAAGCCACACGTCACAATTGATTCCCTTTGTGGGCTCACAGTGTCTCACCTCCGATTGCCAGTCGAACGGCCTCTAAAGGTGGATCCACTTGAGGAATAAATACGATTGCCTCTTCTTCCGCATCGGAAGGGGAATCGCGGATTCCTAGTCCTTATTTTGCCAGGCAGAGCGCACGGACACACCAGGCACAATTACCACACCACCACGGCATCTTCTGCAAAACGCCACTTCGGTTGGAAGGCAGGTAGTCCTCGACTTACGACCAGCAGAGCCCAAACCTTCTGCTCCTAAGTGAGACATCGGTTTTGTTAAATCAGCCCATTTCACAGCCATTCTGGGCACGGCTGTTAAGCGAATCGCTGCCGTTGTTAAGTTAGTCACACGGTTGTGAAGTGAACCCTGCTTCCCCCGTGGATGGTCAGGCGGTCGCAAAAGGGGATCACCTGACCCCGGGACACTGCGACCGTCATAAATACGAGTCAATTGCTAAGAATTTTGATCATATGACGGTGGGGATGCAACCCTGGTCGTAAGTATGAAAACTGGTCATCAGTCACTTTTTTGCAGTGGTGTTGGAACTTTGAACGGTCATTAAATGAACTGTTGTAAGTCGAGGACTACCTGTACTAAGCCGTTCCCCAGGAAAGCCCCTCGTTTTGAGGGAAACCGCAAACATGGTTGTCTGAAGCCCCCCTTAAAATGGAAGGTGAGGATTCCCTCTGAGGAGACTCGACTTGTTTAAGGACGCTTCTCCATCTGGGGCGTCCCGCCTCCTTCCCTGCTTTCGCTGCATAGAACCCCTGGTCCTCCTGCCAGGAGAGCGAGAGAGCGAGAGGGAGAGAGGGAGGGAGGGAGGGAGGGAGGGAGGGAG